AAAGAAAGCTCAACATGGTCCGAGACGGTCCAAGAGCGTTGCAAGACGCCGAAGATGGCCTACAGACAGCCCAAAGCGCCTTCATGACGTCCCAAGAGGCCTCCAAGAAACCTCCCAAGAGGCCCCACAGAGGAAGAAATTATTGATTTTCCCCCAGTGTTTGAAAGCTTTGGGCTTTCTCGCCTTCTCGGCTTACCGGCGCTCCAAGACGGCTCAAGAGACTTCCAGGATCGCCCCAACACGGCCCAAGAGGCCTCCAAGAGCGCCCGAAACGGCCCCAGAGGGCCCCAGTGCAGCCCCAGAGGCCTCCAAGATGGCCGAAGAGGCCCCGAGGACGGCTCCGAGAGCGCGCCCAGACGAGGGACCCGAACTGACATTTCAAGCTCTACGCGCAGAGAGGTCCCCTGGAGGCCCCAAGAGGCCCCCAAGAAGCCCCCGAAAGGCCCCCGAGAGGCCCCAAAAGACCCCAAGAGGCACCCAAGAGGCCCCCGAGAGGCCCCCGCGACGCCCCAGGAGGTCCCAGAAATACCGCCAAGAGGCCCAAGAAGAGGCTCCAAGAGGCCCACAAACGGCCTCCAAAAGGCCACGAACGCGCAGGCAAATGCCTGCGATAGCACGGTACGGGCCGCCGGAGTGAGCGAAGCGACTGAATAACTTCTCCCTGTCACACCCCGAGGCCAGTGTTTAGGGCGGGCCAGGCGTTTCGCCTGAGACTTCCTCACCACTTATGACTCTGAAGCTTAATCATCCCGGCAAAGCAACCTAACAGCGATGTGTAGGAGCATATCTGGAAGCATTCCCCTTAAGATTCAGATGAGAATCCAGTTGTAGAATTCTGCTGTTCTCGCAGTCGTAGTCGCATTCGCGATGACAGTCGCAGTGGCAACGGCAGTCGCAGTCACAGCCTCAGCCTCAGCCTGCCTCAGCCTCAGCCTCAGCCTGCCTCAGCCTCAGCCTGCCTCAGCCTCAGCCTCAGCCTGCTTCAGCCTCAGCATCAGTCTGCCTTCAGCCTCGGCCTCAGCCTCAGCCTGCCTCAGCCTCAGCCTGCATCAGCCTCAGCCTCAGCCTCAGCCTGCCTCAGCATCAGCCTGCCTCAGCCTCAGCCTCAGCCTGCCTCAGCCTCAGCCTCAGCCTGCTTCAGCCTCAGCCTCAGTCTGCCTTCAGCCTCGGCCTCAGCCTCAGCCTGCCTCAGCCTCAGCCTGCATCAGCCTCAGCCTCAGCCTCAGCCTGCCTCAGCATCAGCCTGCCTCAGCCTCAGCCTCAGCCTGCCTCAGCCTCAGCCTCAGCCTCTCAGCCTCAGCCTCAGTCTGCCTTCAGCCCCGGCCTCAGCCTCAGCTGCCTCAGCCTCAGCCTGCTCAGCCTCAGCCTCAGCCTCAGCCTGCCTCAGCATCAGCCTGCCTCAGCCTCAGCCTCAGCCTGCCTCAGCCTCAGCCTCAGCCTGCTTCAGCCTCAGCCTCAGTCTGCCTTCAGCCTCGGCATCAGCCTCAGCCTGCATCAGCCTCAGCCTGCATCAGCCTCAGCCTCAGCCTCAGCCTGCCTCAGCATCAGCCTGCCTCAGCCTCAGCCTCAGCCTGCCTCAGCCTCAGCCTCAGCCTGCTTCAGCCTCAGCCTCAGCCTGCCTATCAGCCTCAGCCTCAGCCTCAGCCTGCCTCAGCATCAGCCTGCCTCAGCCTCAGCCTCAGCCTGCCTCAGCCTCAGCCTCAGCCTGCTTCAGCCTCAGCCTCAGTCTGCCTTCAGCCTCGGCCTCAGCCTCAGCCTGCCTCAGCCTCAGCCTGCATCAGCCTGAGCCTCAGCCTCAGCCTGCCTCAGCATCAGCCTGCCTCAGCCTCAGCCTCAGCCTGCCTCAGCCTAAGCCTGCCTCAGCCTCAGCCTCAGCCTGCTTCAGCCTCAGCCTCAGTCTGCCTTCAGCCTCGGCCTCAGCCTCAGCCTGCCTCAGCCTCAGCCTGCATCAGCCTCAGCCTCAGCCTCAGCCTGCCTCAGCATCAGCCTGCCTCAGCCTCAGCCTCAGCCTCAGCCCTTCAGCCTCAGCCTCAGCCTTCAGCCTGCCTCAGCCTCAGCCTCAGCCTGCCTCAGCCTCAGCCTCAGCCTGCTTCAGCCTCAGCCTCAGTCTGCCTTCAGCCTCGGCCTCAGCCTCAGCCTGCCTCAGCCTCAGCCTGCATCAGCCTCAGCCTCAGCCTCAGCCTGCCCAGCATCAGCCTGCCTCAGCCTCAGCCTCAGCCTGCCTCAGCCTCAGCCTCAGCCTCAGCCTGCTTCAGCCTCAGCCTCAGTCTGCCTTCAGCCTCGGCCTCAGCGTCAGCCTGCCTCAGCCTCAGCCTGCATCAGCCTCAGCCTCAGCCTCAGCCTGCCTCAGCATCAGCCTGCCTCAGCCTCAGCCTCAGCCTGCCTCAGCCTCAGCCTCAGCCTGCTTCAGCCTCAGCCTCAGTCTGCCTTCAGCCTCGGCCTCAGCCTCAGCCTGCCTCAGCCTCAGCATCAGCCTGCCTCAGCATTCAAAATGTTGCCCGGGAATGGAGTTCTGGGAACTCGAAGAACACGAAGTGGCCTACAGTTGGCTCCGGGCATTCAAAATCATGCCCAGGAATGCAGTTCTGGGAACTCGAAGACCACGAAGTGGCCTAGAGTTGGCTCCGGGCATTCAAAATCATGCCCAGGAATGGAGTTTTGGGAACTCGAAGACCACGAAGTGGCCTACAGTTGGCTCTGGGCATTCAAAATCATGCCCAGGAATGGAGTTCTGGGAACTCGAAGAACACGAAGTGGCCTACAGTTGGCCCCGGGCATTCAAAATCATGCCCAGGAATGGAGTTCTGGGAACTCGAAGACCACGAAGTGCGTTACTGTTGGCTTAAAAAAGAGTCCCCGGTTTTCCGCGGCACCCGTCCGGCATCTGCCCAGACCCCCCTGGGGAGTCATGATGTTCTCTTTTGAGAACACTAGAAACCTATCAGTCTTCGCTGTTAGGTAAAAATTGGCAACAGGTTCACAGATGGAGGGCGGGTCTTCTTCAAAATGTGGCTCTAGCCTTAGCGCGGCGCACATCCGTTGGAAAAAAAAATGCGAGAGCTTCCCGGATTGAGGGCGGGTGGTTTTCAAAATGTGGTTCTCGCCATAGCGCGGCGCACACTCGCTTGAAAAAACTGCAAGACTTTCACGGATTGAAGGCGGGTGGTTTTCAAAACGTGGCTCGCGCCTTAGCGCGGCGCACCTTCGTTTTGGAAGTTCACACGAGCTTCACGGATTGAGGGCGGTCGTTTCCAAAATGCGACTCTAGCTTTAGCGCCGCGCAAATTCGTGTACAAAATTTGCAAGAGTTTCATGGATTGAAGGCGGGTGGTTTTCAAAATGTGGCTCGCGCCGTAGCGCGGCACACATTCGTTGTAAAAATGTACAAGCGTTTCACGGATTGAAGGCGGCTCCTTTTAAGAATGTGGCTCTCGCCTTAGTGCCGCGCACATTCGTTCACAAAATTTAAAGGAATTTCACGGATTCCCATCATCAACGTGCCAGAAGTCGTGTTTTGAAAGGATTCAGGATTATTCGGGTACGACAGTTATGTAAATTCGCAGTGTCGAGGTCCCAGGAATGGCGTTCTGGTACGATTCAGGACTGTCAAGACACAACAGTCAGGTTGATCCGTGGCGTTGGAATCCCGAGAACAATGTTTTGGCACGCTTCAGGGTCTTCAAACGGTTGTCTTCCAAAGAGGCAGTTCCCCCAATGGAAATGAACCGTCCTATGAAGAGGGAGCTTGGAGGGAGGATTGATTCAAACATCGTTAATGACTCTTGGGTTTACACTGGTCCTCCACCTCCGCCTCCTCCTTCTCCTCATCCTCCTCCTCCTCTCGTTGATTAGCATTGTTGGGCATTGCTTTGCGTTGCCCTTGGCTTTGCCTTGAAATTCGCCTGGCCCTGCTATGCATTGTAGTGGCATCGCAAAGCAACGCGAAGCCACACAGAGCAACACCACAAAGTTGCGCAAAGCCACTATAACAATGCATAGCAATATGCAGTCACGCAAAGCAAAGGAAGGAGGCGGCCGGGAGTGCAGAGCAAAGCAATGCTAAGCAAGGAGTAGAAATACAAAGCAATGCGGAAAGATGCAATGCGAAACAACGTTGCACGTGGCCTTACCAGGCATTGCAATGGCTTCGCAACGCAACGCGAATCAATGCAAAGCAACGCAAAGACACGCACAACAACGCAAGCAACGCAAAGACACGAGAACACTGCAAAGCACTGCGCAGCAACGCAAACCCGGAGGAAGGAGGGGGAGTGAGAGCAGAGCAAAGCGATACTAAACACGGCGTAGCGATGCAAAGCAATGCGACGCAATGCAGAGCAATGCGGAGCAGTGCAGTTCAAAGCAATGTAAAGCAGTGGGCGACGACGCCAGCCAGGCCCAGACCACGGGCGGCGACAAGGCGGCGAAGGGGCCGCGACTGCGAGCACGGAGCCGCCAGGCCGACAGCCAGGCCAGGACCACGGCTGTCGACGAGGCGGCGACGGGGCGGCGACGGCGAGCACGGAGCCGCAAGGCGACCGACAGCCAGGCCTAATTCCTTAGAACCCAAATAAGAATCCCTAAGCGCAAACATTGCTCGGGGAAAGAGAACTCGGAACCAACACCTTGACCAAAGAGGGTTTTCTTCGAGGCCAGGAGCCAGAACTGGAGCCGTGAACAAAGACATTTTCGAGATTGGAAGAAAAAAGAAAACAGAACCACAACCGAGACGGGAGGCAGGAAGAAAAAGGAGACGGAACCAGAACGGAAACTGGAACCGTGACTGGGATCCTCATACAGGCTGGAGGAAAAAAGAGACAAGAACCAAAACTAGAACCAGAACAGCGACCTGGGGGGTCTTCTTCGAGGCCAGGAGGAAGAAAGGGGGGGGGAAAAATCAGAACAACAAAACGGAACTGGAACAGAGGGACCTCCTGCGGCGCCTGCAGAAAAAGATAAAAAAAAATGAACCAAAACTGGAACCAGAGCCGTAACAGCGACCGGGGCTCTTCGAGGTCAGAAGAAGATAACGGAAGCGGAACAGGAACAAGAACCGTGACCAAGGGGGTTTTCTTCGAGGCCAGAAGATAAAAGAAACCAGACAGAACCAGACCCAAAACCAAAATGATCTGAGAGTCTTCTCCCAGGCCAGAAGAAGAAACTAGAACCGGATCTGGAACCCCAAAACCGTGGCCAAAGGGGTCTTCTGCGGCGCCATAGGAAGAAAGAAAACGCCGGGAGAAGAAGGAAAACCGGAACCAAAACCGTGACTGGGGGGTCTTCTTCGAGGCCGGAAGAAAAAGGAAAGCAGAACCAGAACCAAAACTGGAACCTGGGGAGTCTTCTTCCCGGCAGGAAGTAACAAGAAACCAGAACCAAAACTGGAACCACAACTGTAACTGTGGGAGTCTTCGTCGAAGCTGGAAGAAGACAGAAACCAGAACCAGAACAAGAACCGGAACCAAAGCCGAAACCGTGACCTGGGGGGTCTTCTTCGAAGCTGGAGGAAGAAGGACACCAGAACGGAAACTGGAACTGGAAAAGGAAATCAGAACGGGACGCTCTTTTCCCAATCCGGACAGAGAAAGAAACCAAGACTGGAACCATAACCGTGACAAAGGGGGTCTTCTTCAAAATCCCGAAGAAGGGAACCAGAACCAGAACCAAACCCAAAACAGGAACCAGAACCAGAACCAGAACCGAAACCAGAACCAGAAGCAGAACCGGAAACGGAACCAAAACCACCACCACCACACCCATGCTGACAATGTCTGAGTGCTTGCTTGCACTTCGTCGAGAAGGGAGGCCCCCCAGAACCGGGGACCAGTCGCCAAGACATCAGGGACTCCTGCGACCTGATGACCCAAGCGGACTTTTTTGATCCGCGGGTCGAGAGCGCACCTCTTCCGGTCGAAGCTAAGCGGGCCGCGCACAGCTTGAATTAACGAGAGGGGGGCAGAAGGAGGGGCCTCACATCAAGGCCAGGAGTGGGAAAATGACCCAAGCGGACACGCCATACGGCAGAAGATGCATGTCGGGAACCATGCGGTGGAGGCGGCAGGGACAGCGGAGAGCACGTGGCCACAGGGCCTCGGGCGGGGCCAGACTTGCGAGAGCGCTGCCGTCGCTGGAGGCCGGCGGGCCACGCGGCAGAGGACTGCGTGCCTTGTCAAGAGTGCGGCATGCTAGCGATGGAGGCCCCAGGCATTCTGCGAGGGACGCGCCTCGCTCGAAGCCACGAGGCGAGCGCGAGAGGAGGAGGCCACGGCGAGCCAATAGATGTTCCAGAGGCTGCGGCAGGAGCTCGGATGGGCCGAGCACGCCCAGCAGCTCGGCGCAGAGGCGCGGGCCGAGCTTTCTCACGCGACGCGCTCACGCGAGGTGCCTGCCAGCGATAAAAACACCCACGGTTACTGCAGTGGGAGGAGCCCGCCAGCAGTAGAGCCTCCCGCCTCCTCGAAACGTTAATGTCAGGAGGGGGCGGACGGCGGTCTGTGGACGGCCCACTGGGGCCCCACCTTGGGCCCGCCGCCCATGGAGGGTGCGGAGCGCCTGGGGGGTGGACAACCAGGGGAGGAGCGCACGGGCGCTCGAGAGCCCCACCGCGGGCATGAGTGTGCCTCGCCGTGCCGCAGCTTGACGGTCCTGGCCGAGAGAGGCAGTGCCCGTGGTCAGCTGTCTTCAGAGTCTGCTCGGCCACCGAAAAGACGGCGTCGGGCACGGGTTCAGGGCGTCGGCCTGGCGATGGGCGACCCGTCTCCCCATCCACCCGTCCTGGAACGTACGCACAGACGCACCACGCTATTCCTGCTTAGCCACAGTCTACGCGACGAAGAGCAGCTCTACCCTGCGGGAAAATCGGCATGGCCTCGTGCTGAGAAACTTCACCCCTGCAACCGTCGTCCTCCTCCTCCAGCTCCTCCTCCTCCTCCTCCTCCTCCTCCTCCTCCTCCTCCTCCTCCTCCTCCTCCTCCTCCTCCTCCTCCTCCTCCTCCTCCTCCTCCTCCTCCTCCTCCCCCACCCCCCGCGGACGCTGCGACACAGACAGCCCCGAACTGCGTTTGTAGAAGGCCCGCCCGGCCTGAATCGGCGTCGGCCTGGAGTGCTTGCCCACGAGGCTCCTGCACGCGTCAACCAGTGAAGATGGCACGCCCCTTTCGACCAGGTCCTCGCAGGGTTGGAGTGTAGAAGGAAGGAGATGGAGGAGGAGGAGGAGGAGGAGGAGGAGGAGGAAGAACAGGAGGAGCAGAAGTAGGAGGGACAAGAGAGGGTGGGGGTCAAGGAGAAGCCGAGGCCGCCGCCGAAGAAGATCAAAGTGCGGGGCCGAAAGGGTTTTACATTGTCCCTAGGTACAACGGCACATGTGAACGAAGTCACCTTTTGTAAGGCTGCCGACCCCCGCTTGCCGGGGGTGAAAAGGCATGTGAGACATAGCTGCCCACTTCCCTCTTCCCTCTTCCCCCTGGAGTCCACAACGCCGTTTGAGAGGGGCGGGGGGACGAGCTCGCCAACGCACCCCTGGGGCCTCCGGAGCCTCCAAAACCCCGGGGAGGGCCCAGACACAGCGCAAAGACAGTCGAAGATAGCGTCGAGACGGCCCTGAGCAGCCCCACGTCGAGACGGCCCTGATTGACACCTTTTTTAATAAAGAGACCCTCTGTAGATGGGCTGGATTCGGGCCAGGGGTTGCAAATTCTACGGAAGGACACTCTGCAGATGCCGGAGAAGGCCTACCTGGACCAGATGCGCAGCAGATTCTTTTGCACTTTGCGCAGACAGAGCCGCTCCCTACACCGCAACGCTATCTCGCGCGCATGCTTGTGAGCGCGAGTTTCGCTACTTGAACCACCTGGAAACCACGATCCTCTCTCCATCCTCTCTTCTTCCTCCTCGTCCTCCTTCTCTTCCTCCTCCTCCTTCTAATCCTCTTCCTCCTCCTGCTCTTCCTCCTTGTCCTCATCCTCCTCCTCGTCCTCCTCTTCCTCCTCTTCCTCTTCCTTTTCCTGATGTTCCCAGCAGCATCGTCATTGCCATCATCATCATCATCATCATCATCATCATCATCATCATCATCATCATCATCATCATCATCATCATCATCATCATCATCACCATTATCATCAGCAGTATCATCATCATTGTCATCATCATCAGCAGCATCAGCATCAGCATCAGCATCATCATCAGCAGCAGCATCAGAATCAGCATTATGATCATCATCATCATCACCACCAGCAGCAGCATCATCAGCATCAGCAACAACAGCTTCATCTTCAGCATTATCATCATCAGCAGCAGCATCATAATCATCAGCATGACCGTCATCATCATAAACATCAGCATCAGCGTCAGCATCATCATCATCATCATCAGCAGCAGCATCAGCATCAGCCTCACCAGTAAATCACCATCATCACCACCACCACCACCAGCACCATCATCATCATCATCATCATCACCATCATCATCATCATCACCACCACCACCATCATCATCATCATCATCATCATCATCACCATCACCATCATCATCACCACCATCATCATCATCATCATCATCATCATCATCATCCTCATCCTCATCCTCATCCTCATCCTCATCCCCATCCTCATCATCATCATCACCACCACCAAAACCACCACCACCACCACCACTACCACCACCATCATCATCATCATCATCATCATCATCATCATCATCATCATCACCAGCACATCACCATCACCATCATTATCACGGTCACCAACAGCATCTTCATCACCAGCCATCGCCATCATCATCCTCACGGATTGGAGCAACTGCCACCGAAAAGGCTCGACTGGCACAGTCGCGGGAGTTGCCGCAGGCAGCTGGACACCTTGTGCGTCGCAAAAGGAGTTACGGGGGCCGAGAGGGGGGAAAGGGGAAGAGGGGGGAAAGGGGGGAGGGTAGTCGGAAGGAAGGGCGGGGGGAGGAGGGAGGGGACACAGCGTTGGCAGGGACTGGGTCTGGGGCCGCGGGCCGGAAGCGGGGCCGGGGGGCCGGAGCCAGAGCTGGGGCCAGGGCGAGAGACGGGGCCGGGGCTGGGGGCGAGGGCCGGAGCCGCGGGGCCAGAGCTGGGGCCGGGGCCGGGGGCCGGGGCCGGGGCCGGGGCCGGGGCTCTGGAAGTGCAGGTTCATGCCGTGTCTTCTCCTTCGGAGCCTGCCGCCAGAGCCCGGCACGGGGGCCGGGGCTGGAGCGAGCAGCGCCCAGGCCAGCACGGCCCCGGGTGCCACTCCTGCGCGAGCCGAGCGCTCCTGCTCGGAGCAGGGCGAGCTGAGACAACGGCGGCTCGAGCTCGATCCTCGGAGCCTTGAAGGGGCCCTGGGACACACAAATAAATACACACTAATAGAAATAATCCCTATATCTTCCTATATTTTCTGGGTTTTTGTCTTCCCCCCCACTTCCCATATTTTCCCATATGTTCTGGGGAATCGACGATTAATTGTGTCTGTGTGTTTTTTCCCCTCCTGAAGCCTCCCAGGGCCCACACGCATCAGCTTTCCGAACGGAGCCGAGCCGTGGCGACGGCCAGGCCCGCCGCGGGCCAAGCACCGTCGTCCCAGCTCGCCCTCCTCGGTTGAGACCACGGCGGCTCTCTCCCGCCGGGTCCACATCTGCTCAGACTCGGAAGCTGGGCGAGGGCCGGCAGATCCGTGGCGCCTGAAACGGTCTTCCCGGGGGAAAAAACACACACACACAAAAAAAAAACGCTTCCCAGAAGAAGGCTCAGCGCACTGAGCAGGAAGCGGGCTGCTGCCCGGAAGAACACAACAACAAAAAAAAACAAAAAAACAAAAAACAAAAAAAAAAGCTCCGCTCTAGCAGCCAAGGGCTTGCCAGCCTTCGCCCGGGCTTCTGATCAGACTCGGCCCCCTGACCCCTCCCGGGGCCCCTCCCGACCGGCTCTTCGATGCGGATCCAGGCGTGGCGACGCGAGGCCTCCCGGCGGCCCCAGCCAGGACGACAGGTGCAGAGGGCAGGAGCGACGTGAAGCTCGGGCTCGGCGGGCTCGGGTTGGCCTGGCGTGGCCAGCGAGAGAGCGACGAGACCCCGTCCGAGACTTGACGCGAGCTCCCGCTGCAAACACCCCACGAGAACTGGGCCGTCAAACTCTGGGACGGGCTCGTCGAGAAGCCGCGGCAAGCCCGAGAGCCGGCGAACTCCAGGAGGAGGAGGAGGAGGAGGAGGAGGAGGAGGAGGAGGAGGAGGAGGAGGAGGAGGAGGAGGAGGGGGTGGAGGAGGAGGAGGAGGAGGACTAGGACTAGGAGGAGGAGGAGGAGGAGAAGGAGGAGGAGGAGGAGGAGGAGGAGCTCCAGCCCGGCGTCTCCCCGCGCGCGCAGGGCCGCCGTTGTCTCGCCATGGCCCTCCTCCGACCCTCTCCGAGGCGACGGAGAAGGGGCTGGCACTGCGCGTGTGCGTCGGGGAGCCTCGCCGAAGACGTGGACCACCGGCGCCCCCTGGATAGATGCACTTCAAGGGGCCCAAGGACACACAAGTAGATGCATACAAATGAAAGGATTCCCCATACGTTCCCACATTTTCTGGGTTTCCGTCTTCCCGCCCAATTCCCGTATTTTCCCATATGTTCTGGGCAATCGACGATTAATTGTGTCTGTGTGTTTTTTCCCCTCCTGAGTATTGCTGCCCCCGGGCGATTCGCCCCCATCATCGTCGCCTCCGAGGCCGACTCTGCGGACCTACGCGTGGACGGGCGCCGCTCCCCCCCGGCGCGCTGCGGGCCTTCCCCGCCACCCTGCCCAATGGACCACCGCTGGCGCCCCTCACTTGCTCAGGTCGTCATCGTTGCAGTGGCACTGCGCTGCAAGAGCATTGCGCTGAGTTGCCATCGCCTTGGGTTGCCACGCGTTGCATTGCATTGCATCGCGTTGCATTGCTGAGCACCACATAGTCTGCACCACACGCATTGCACCACCTAGCTCACACAGCATATCTTGCACCGTATGTATCATCGCACCACGCAGCTTGCACCACATAGCTTACGCCACGTCGACTGCACCATGTAGACTGCAACACATGGAGTGCATCCCACAACTTGCCCCACATAGATTGCACCATTTCGCACGAGATTGGGTCGAGGTTGGGAATGTGTGGTGGTGGTGGTGGAGGACGAGGGGGGGGGAGACAAGCTAGGTGCGCTCGCGTCATATCTGACATCCAACCCCTCCCTCCCATCCCTTACCATGGCGCAGATCCCCTCTCTACTCGCTCAGTCGGATGTCGAGCAGGGCAATGATCCCGAAAGGGTACGCGATGAATTGTAGAGCACGGCATGGCATGGCGTAGAAGAGCACCCACCGCAAAGCGTAGTATCAACCTAGAATTGCATTGCATGCCGTGGCATGCCACGGGAAATGACGCCAGCGCTGCAGCGGGAGCACGAGTCGAAACGAGCGGAAGCGCGGAAATGAGGCCAACGCTGCAGCGGGAGCACGATTCGGAACGAGCGGAAGCACGGAAATGAGGCCAGCGCTGCAGCGGGAGCACGATTCGGAACGAGCGGGGCCCGAAAATGACGCCGGAGCCTCAGCGAGAGCAGCATTTTGGAAAAACATGCAAGCGAAAACCCAACTCTGGGGAAACCTGTGTGTAAAAAAACAATACGCGGGGGGGGGTCGGCCACTTTCAAACCGTCATCAGCGGAAGAGGGAGAGTAGTATTCATATTGAGTAATTGTAAAGGGTAGGGGACGGTGGGAGGCACGTGTGTGCGTGTGTGTGCGCAGGTGGGCGGGGTGAGTGGATGGGTGGTGGCCCAGCGCGCATGGAGCTCAGGAATGCGATGGGGTGGCAAACGGTGGGCGGCATGAGGTCAAGCGGAGGATGGGGATGCGGGGGGGTTCTTTGTGTGCATGTGTGCGTGCGCATATGTGGTGGGCGTAAGGCGAAAGGAGGGGTGGTGAATGAATGGGGTGGTGTCTGTGTGTGAGAAGTGTGGAAACGGCAAGATGAGGGGTAGGAGGGAGAATGGAAGGGAATGGAGGGTGGAGGGAGAGAGGAGGAAAAGATCGGAACGGGGAGGGAGGAAGAGGGGAAGAGGGGAAGGGGAAAGGGACACATCCAGAGAACCCCAGATCGGCGGCACTGGCCAAAGGCCATGACAATAATCCTGGATCTCCCTCCCCAAAACATCAGATCCGCCTGCCGCTTCTGAAATTCTTGAGCGGGGGGTGTCCAGTCAACCAACGAGACCCGCCGGCCCCTGCTTGTTTCACCGACAATGGCATGCCGTTCAGGTGCCGTCCAGGTGGTGGTCTCCCCTGGCAGACTGTAACAAGGAGTGCCTGCGAGCAAAAATATGGCCTGCGCATGCGCAGCTGGTAGAAGAGCTACAAAGGCCAGATACATGAACAGCTGTCTTGACACACTTCAGAACGCCAATGCGGCCACTGCGAATTCTCACTGCCAGCGCCAGCTGTGAACATTGGGGCGTGAGGCAAGCTCGCGACCTCCATCCAACACGTCTGACGATTCTGGCTTGGCTGGCTCTCAAAATCTGCCGAGGGCAAACCCTCAGAAGCACTTCCTGTGCACAATGGTGGGGCCCGACTCGTCGTACTCCCCCTTGGAGATCCACATCTGCTGGAAGGTGCTCAGCGAGGAAAGGATAGATCCACCGATCCACACTGAGTACTTGCGCTCAGGCGGAGCAACGACCTTGATCTTCATTGTGGAAGGAGCCAGTGCCGTCAGCTCCTTGGTCATGCGCTCGCCGATGCCTGGGAACATCGTGGTGCCACCAGACAGCACCACGTTGGCGTACAGGTCCTTGCGGATGTCGACATCGCACTTCATGATCGACTGGAACGTGGTGTCGTGGATGCCGCTGGCTTCTTTGCCCACGAAGCTGGGCTGGAAGAGCACCTCTGGGCAGCGGAAGCGCTCGCTGCCAACGGTTATGATGTTCCCGTCGGGGAGCTCGTACGTCTTCTCCTTGTCGGAGCTCTCCGTAGCGGCCTTCATCTCGGTGTCGAAGTCGAGCGCGATGTAGCAGAGCTTCTCCTTGACGTCGCGCACGATCTCTCGCTCGGCCGTGGTGGTGAAAGAGTAGCCACGCTCGGTGAGGATCTTCATCAGATACTCCGTGAGGTCCCGCCCCGCCAGATCCAGGCGCAGGATCGCGTGCGGCAGCGCGTAGCCCTCGTAGATGGGCACGGTGTGCGACACGCCGTCGCCGGAGTCCATGACGATCCCCGTGGTGCGGCCGGAAGCGTACAGCGAGAGCACTGCCTGGATCGCGACGTACATCGCCGGCACGTTGAACGTCTCGAACATGATCTGCGTCATGCGCTCGCGATTCGCCTTCGGGTTCAGGGGCGCCTCCGTGAGGAGTACTGGGTGCTCCTCGGGAGCCACGCGAAGCTCGTTGTAGAAGGTATGGTGCCAGATCTTCTCCATGTCGTCCCAGTTGGTCACGATACCATGCTCGATGGGGTACTTCAGGGTCAGGACGCCGCGCTTGCTCTGGGCCTCGTCGCCCACATAGCTGTCTTTCTGGTCCATGCCGACCATGATTCCTGGCATCTTCGGGCGGCCGACAATGGAGGGGAACACGGCGCGCGGTGCGTCGTCGCCCGCGAAGCCGGCCTTGCACATGCCGCTGCCGTTGTCTACGACCAGGGCGGCGACCTCCTCTTCGCCCATCGTTTGCGAGGCAGCAGACAGCTGGACGCCCGCAGCGTGCGGGTGCGCCGGAATAGACTTGGGCCAGGAGACGAACCTGGCTTGAGCCAAAACGGCTACGGGTGGTCCGGGGCACCAGCTTTCCCCCGCCGCCTTCTTCGCTTCTGGGGAAAAAGATAACCCCTGCCCCCGCCGCCTCCTTGGGGGCCTGGCCCCCGCGAGGCATCAGACGGTCCATTCTCGACCAAAAACGGTTACAACATGGTCCAAAATTGTCCAAGGAGATATCCAAAATGGCGCAAAGTCCAACTTGATTCAAGATGGCTTCCAGTATGCCTCCAAGAAGCCCCTGAGATCATTAACAGACTGCCCGAGGTAGCCAGGAAGCCTCCAAAACGGTGACCCTGAGAGGCCAAAGAACAAACATGATGTGTGATGTTTTCCTAATAGGTTTGCCCTGTAGGAGTCCTAGCTCAAACCCTACTATTTGGTCCGTTGCCCCACCCCCTAATTCCTATGCCTCCCCGTTTCCTGTGGCTATGCCTATGCCTATGATTGCTTGCCTACGCCTATGCCTCGGTCCTGAGCCTCTACCACAACAGCACCCCGCTCAGCAAACTCTTTGGGGAAAGACCTTCCCGAACCCAGAACCTCGAGCCTGCCGGCCCTTGCCGCTGGCCAGAACCAGCGCTGGGCCACCTCACACCTCCAGACGTTGCACGGTTTTCCCCGGGGCCGTAGGCGACCTGAGGAGGAGGAGGAAGAGGTGGAGGAGGGGGAGGAGGGGGAGGGGGAGGAGGAGGAGGAGATGGAGGAGGAGGAGGAGGAGGGGGAGGGGGAGGAGGAGATGGAGAAGATGGAGGAGGAGAAGGAGGAGGAGGAGGAGGAGGAGGAGATGGAGGAGGAGGAGGAGGAGGAGGAGGAGGAGGAGGAGGAGTCGCCTAATTAAGCCCTCTGGAAAAACCCTCCACTCCAATCAGAGGGGGCACAAAGCCGCCGCGCGTCCTCGAAGCACGCCACGGGCCGGTAGAAGTCCAGGGACGCCTCCGCGCCGCCGGGCAGCAGGCCCACCTCCGGGGTCCCAGGCTCGCGGGGCCGGCGAGGGCGAGGGAGCGAAGGGCAACGGCAGGGGCCACACAGCCGAAATATCAGCCCCTGACCACGAGGGTCGGGATGCGAGCTCTCCGCACGTCTTCGCTCGTCCTCGGCAGTGTTCTGTGGCCTCGGAGTGCTTTCTGGGGACGGCGCCTCGCCGAAGGCGTGTTCTGGGGGGTGCCCGGATCGTCCCGCACGGCCGCCGGAGAGCCGACGTGTGGCCCGAGGAAGCCAGAGGCGA